ATGATTCTCACTAATGTGCATTAAGGCACGAGACCTTGCGGAGCCCGGGATCTTTCCAACGAATGCAAAATTGTCGAAATCGGTTAATGCGTTCTGGAGATATATCGTCAGGAAGGAAAACCCGACTTATTTTTATATATATGTAGAAAATATATAAATATATATATATATATATATATATATATATATATTATATATATATATATATATATAATGAGTATGTTTAAATTTGATGTTGAAATGTATGATCCTCAATTTCTTGGAGGGCGTAACATCAAGTAAAAAAATTTGAAGTAAAGATTTTTAAAACATCTTTCTTTTCTACGTCATCATCAGTGGTGTTGAACTTCTTAGACTAACACTAAAACGCAGTAATGATAATTAATATGTAAGTAATTAATAATTTGAATAATGCACGTCAGTGGTCACTTTTTTATAAAATATTTTTTAGAAACATATTGAAGAGAGATGTAGATCATCCGAGTTACTTTTAATTTCTAAATATGTATATATATATATATATATATATATATATATATATATATAATCTGAAATATAAGTAATTTAATCAGAGAAATTCGGAATGCCTTTAATATTATTGCCGATAAAATTTTCATCTCCTCATAATAACCTCATAATATGAACAGTCGCATATATTATAAATAAGTTTCGATAAAGGCCTTGAATTTTTTTATATTGAAGGGTGTTAATTTTTTTTTCATCAGTCTATAAATTTATGGCTCAGTAGTAATGAATTGTCCGTGCATTTTCGCGTTGTATTGAATTATCATTTCATTAAAATTTACAGTTGTCCGCGCGGTATATAGTGACCGACCCGCAAATAATACACAGCAATATCCTGGCTACATCATATTTCGTGAGCACGACTCTGCGGAAACCGTCGGCCAAAATCGACACAAATCCGGTCCCGAAGAATTCCATGGACAAGTTGATGAAAGACCCTAACGCAGCCAATAGCCTCAAGTATATTGTGAAGAAAATTGACAATTTTGTATTGCTATCGGAGATATTTTGCGCTGTTATAGTTGTTGTTTATTACTCTGCTTGGTATGGACTTATTAGGACACTTTATTTCAAATAAATTTGATTTAGTGTAATATAGAAATCCGTCATATATTATTAGTATTCTGAATGGTTAGCGTTTTAAATTTAACATCATGTAATGTAATGTAAAATGAAAAAAATTTGTGTTTCAATATATTATATGGATATGCCTTTCTGTTCTATTTTAACATTTTGAATCCAACTAATAGCGTATTAAAATTTGCTTGGAGATAAATTTCTAAATCCTGCCAATTTCTGTATGTTATATAAAATATTTTGATTTTTTTTTTAATTTGTGAATAATTTCATATTAAATATCTGGAAAAATTTTAAATATCATAAATACTAAATAAAAAAATCCGATTTGCTAATTTTATTCCAAAGAGACCAAATTTGGAAAAAGTATGTCTGTTTATATGTAAGCCGATTTTTGACCTTTCGTCCATGTTTTCTCAAAAACGGCTGGACCGATTTCAAAAATTTGAAAACCATTTGATGTGACTCGATAAGTACCGTCAATCAATCTCGCTCGATAATTTTTTGTATTTAGCAATAAAGTGTAACATTTTTGGTTTTAGCCCGCAATATTGAACCGATCTTGAAAGTTCATAAACCGGTTGAAATATTGTTTGGGAACCATGTTGATTAGTTTTTGGGAAATATCGGCCGGGCTGTTTCTTTGTAGTTGAATGCTGAAATAATAACGGCTAAAGCATTTCGCTCACATTATATTCATATTTCTCTTTAGCGCGTATAACGAACTTTTTTTTATAATTTTATTTGAACAGCAATCAGAACTAATGGGTTCTATGAGCTGTTGTGAGTAAGATCTTACAAACTACGTTTGTTTTATTACAGATGGCAACCCAAACAGTTGTCACATCTCTGTATGATAAATTTTTATTACAATCTCTGTAATAGGGCAAGTATGGTGCAACAATGCCGGATGAGGGCTATTTTCACTTAGAAACATATTGCTATCTATATTTCCAAGTGAAAATCGTTGTCAATGTTGCCTGACAATGCTGCTCGAAGTGGGTATCGAACCCGGGACCTCTGAAACAAGTATAACGAACTAAATGAGTAAAATGCACTAGCAAAAATCATGTAATTTCTAGGTTTTTATTTTTTTACTCGAAATTTTTCAATAATAAAATTACCATGCATTTTATCATTTTACAATCCTGATAATGCACCAACTTTCGATAAAACTTGCTGACAGAAACATTACATTTTTTTTAAAGAGGACTTCTCAAATTCGATAGGTTTTAAAAATTTTAAATTCATCGTTCACCAAAAAGTTTTAATTCTTGGAAACAAAGAGCAATATATTATTATTTTACACTGCGGTTCTAGAAATGTTATTTACAGTTACGGATCAAAAATTTAAATGCACAAAATTAATAAAAATTAACCACAATAACCGAGAAATGGTCATAATTTCACCAAAGTTTTAGGTTGCACTTGAAAGCTCACAGTTTCCAAAAAACCTGATATTATTATATTTTTTTTAGATAATATCAATACCATAACCCCGTTTCGGCTTGCCGTTAAGTTCTGGGACATACGTATATTCCATCAACTATTTTCGACGACCTAATGCCAACCTTTGATCTTTGGAATGTTTGTCGAATAATTCTAATTGTTTGATTCGTTCTCTCAAAAACTAAACTAAAATTAAACATTCTATTCTCATTAATTAATTGAAACAACTATGCGCATATTCATTTCTTAATTTAATTTATATCATGATATAAAATTTTATTGAGAGATTTGTATTTTTATGGTTTTGCAGCATCGTTCAAAATAAAATTATAGTTTAATAATAATAAGTTTAGTACTCAATGAAGATCTTTATTAGATATATTATACTATTTTTCACAGATCATTTAACGTCAGCAGACAGCATAAATTATTTCGAGTTCGTTCAATAGCCTGTTCTAAGAACAATAATTTATCTCATAAAAAAGTCATTAAAAGCCATTCGCGATAATTCATTTTCCAATTATAAATTTGAATTACTATTTAGATTGATACGCACAATGTTCTTGAGTATAAAAAATGAGTTAGTTATTTCAGAATAAGTATAAAATTGATACATTGAAATTCTAAATTTCATCAGGTCAAAAATTACATCTTTAATAATAAAATAACGCATAAAAAGGTTAGAAACTAGCATTAGTTTAGTGTGCTTTACTCTTTTCAATTACTAGAAAACTTACCTAAACTCAAATGTGTATTACAAAGGTGTACTTTTTAAAAACTAATTGCCTTGAGATACTCTCAATATGGATGTTTGAATAATCTAGAATTATTTATCGCTAAATATACTCTATTATATACATTATTCTTTGATTGGGGCGTGTACAGCAATTTTGTAAAATATTTTAAACTAGAAATAGAACTGAAAAATGTGGAAAGTACTAAGTATGCTTATATATAAAAATAGTAAGTGATAATATTGTTACACATTTGTTCTTAATTTTTCGAATGGGAAGTTTATATTTACGCCAAAAAATACGATTTTCTTAATATTTTAACACGAAATTTCAAGTCATTCTGAATCATTTGACACCCAAATTGGAATTGCGACGCTTATATGCAGCCATACACGTATGTAAAAGCAGCTGTAGAATTTGAAGATTTAAAGTCTATTTAAGGAATCTCGATAAGGTCTTGCGGTGATTAGTTGTGCGTATCGATCGGCCAGGCAGTTTTTTTATAACAAGCAAAACAAATCCTGAAATGATTTAGAACGATATTAATGAAACTTTGCATAATAATAGCATGAACATCCTGAGATTCAAAAAGCAAAAAAATTATTAATTAGTAATTAGCAGAAAAGTGTAAAACTTTTCGTCCGCGTTTAGTCCACAATTTTGAATTGATTTTAAAAATTCAAAAACTGCTTGAAATATGTTGATTGGGAATCGCGTTGATTAGTTTTTGGTAAATGTTAGATAATAATTAACATAAATTTTGTAAAAAATATATTTTGTATTCTGAAATAATATACTAAAATATTATAGGCATATGATAAGCGGTTGAATTATAAAAATTCATTGAAGTTTATAATTTTGCCGCAAACTCGAACGATTCTAATCAGAACCTATGCGAAATCATGTGCCCGTTCATTGATGTTTTGTAGGTAGCTACTGATTGCAGTTAATTATTACACAATAGATGAAATAAAACGTGTTAAACGTATTAATTTAATTTATACAATAACATATAGTATAAGCATGTTTGAAAGACATCAAATTTAAAATCGTATTAATAATTTTTTAGTGAAATTATTTGAATTATTAAAATCGGACGCTCCGTTCTCTTGAAAACTGAGTAACCGTTTGTGGCACTTTTTGCCCCGTATCTTCAAAACGGCTAGACCTGCCTACGCCAAAAATTAATCATCACGTCTCCTTATCAAAAGCAATCGAATGCTTTTTGAATAATTAAAATCGGTTGAACCATGTTCCCGAAATCGTCGACGAAAATTTGTATCCGCACATACACACATACACACACACACATACATCTATTTTTTCCAAGGTATGCCAAAATGTTCATAAACCTCTAAAACGTAAAGATATATAAAAATTTTCATTTTCGATTTTTTGCGATTACTATAACTTGTCCTACGGGAAGTTAATTATGACATATCAATTACTGAATACTACTTACTTGACTGTTAGCTCCTGCAATTGCGAATGAATTTTTTTTTTTTTGTGGAAAATTGTATAAACATAACTTATATATGAGAAAATGTGAAATGCCTTCAATAAACAAACTATGTTTTCAAAATACACTATTCCTTCAATTTACACAATTAATAACTTTATTCAAACTTCAACGTACGTTTTAAGCATTAAAGTTAAAATGTGTACCAATATACTGGACTACCATCTATGTTTTTATCGCGTGGTTCATATCAAGAATGCAAGATAAAACATAACCTTATATTCCGATTTAGAATGTCGCAAATATGATTTTCAATGTTCATAACAATTGAAACAATTTATTGAATAGATGACTGTATACCTAATTAATAATTAATATAAGTGAAAATGTTGCGTATTTCACGTGTATGTTGTTCAAACGTTGTCAATTTGTTTAAAGGTGCTTCTTTGAAAGCCGGCAATACCCTTGTAAACAGAAATGCATTTTCTGTGATCAACAGACAAGACAAAAAGTTTCAAATATCTTCTATTAAAAGCTTTTACAAAAAGTTTTCTTCTGATGTAACTACTTCGGCTAGTCAGAGCAATGCTTCATCCAAAGCTGTAGGGTATTGGCTCTTAGGCTGCGGAGGAATGGTTTTTGTTGCTGTAGTACTTGGTTTGTTTTAATATCTGCTCATTGGATGATATGTTAGAATGTATTGAGTTATTCACAATTTGTAAAATGATAATAAATTAATTGTAATCCCTGTGAGCAACTGTACATCTAATAATCTGAAACGTACATCTAACTTTTTCAAAACAAAATTTTGTAAGCTGTACTTCTTTTACACGCACCAATGTTAGCTATCTATTATATCTACAGCATTTTGCTATAAACCAGTGTAAACAAAAGTTTGAAATTATTTTACTTTTATTAACATAACTAAATTTACTATCCTATCAATCTAAATAGCCATTTATGAGCTTTAAATTACTTCAATTAATTATCCAATTCATAACTAGATGTAACTGTATTCTACAAAATGTGAATTTTCACAAAACTTCTCAAGCATATTGTTCTCGCCAATAATTAGACTAAATATAGTATAATTTTTAGGGGGAGTAACTCGTTTAACTGAGTCTGGTTTATCAATGGTGACTTGGAAATTATTAGGTGAAAAGAAGCCTACAACAGATGAAGAATGGCTTGCAGAATTCACAAAGTATCAGCAATACCCTGAATTTAAAATAAAAAATAAGGACATGACTCTCGAACAATTTAAAATGATTTATTGGATGGAATATGCCCATCGAATGTGGGGTCGAGCAATAGGTGCCTTCTTTGCAATTCCTGCTGCATACTTTTGGTCTAAAGGATTGCTTTCGAAAGGAATGAAAAAAAGAGTATTGATTTTTGGTACTCTCATAGGTCTTCAAGGTTTGATGGGATGGTATATGGTAAAATCTGGATTAGAAGACCGTTTTCATGGACAATCAGATGTTCCTAGAGTCTCACAGTATAGATTAGCATCACATTTGAGCTTGGCTTTCATTTTGTATACATTATTTATGTGGTCAGCATTGGACCATTTGCTTCCAGCACAGAAGTTTACACAATCCAGCATTACAAAGAGTGCTTTATTATTTAAAAGGCTTGTTCACACATCTAAGTTAATGGTATTTTTAACAGCTATCTCAGGAGCATTTGTTGCTGGTTTAGATGCTGGATTAGTTTATAATTCGTTCCCTAAAATGGCTGATAAATGGATTCCTGATGATGTACTAGCACTTCAACCAAAACTTGTTAATTTCACTGAAAATCCGGCAACTGTTCAGTTAGATCATAGGATATTAGGAACGACAACCTTAACATTATTGACTGGATTATGGTTATTTTCTAGAAAGGTACAAATACCTCGAAGGGCATATATAGCGGCTTCTGCAGTGGGAGCAATGGCTTGGGTACAAGTCTTATTAGGAATTACTACATTGTTAAATTATGTTCCTGTGCCACTTGCTGCTAGTCATCAGTCTGGATCTTTGATTCTACTGTCTTTTGCAATTTGGTTATCCCATGAAATGAAGCATATAAAAAGGATACGAGTATAGAACAGAAATAACATTGTGTAATTAGCTTTAATTTAAATATGTATTAAAATAATTTAATATAATAAGTATATTTATATCAAAAATAGATATGCCTTTGACTTTTGGATAATTATTAAATCTATCAACCTCCATGTAATGTTGATATGAATAATATATCATCATTTTCTTCAATCTTGTAATCTAATTCACCCTGTAATATTATATAGATCTATTATTATTTATCCTAATCATATCATATGACTTTTATGTGATTATATTACCAGAAGTTGCCAATCGGTTTCATTGATCAATACTAATATTCCTGGACGCCTATAATGAAAAAGTTGGCTTCAGAAATTGTTCATTGAAGCACATCAGTTTATTTTCAAATATTCGAGATAAAACTAGTTTCATATAACTTTTTACATGAAATTTATATTTATACATACACAGAATCCTCATGAAAGAATAGGTCTTGACGTTCACGTATTAAGTTTGACTTCATCCAAACTAGTAGATTCCGTATAGTCCCTGAAGAATAAGTGAATAATAAAATTCTTATAATATGGCAGCCTTAGCGAGTAAGATTTAATTCAAAAGCACTCACAATCATCTGAGTTACTTGGTAAAACCACTTCTTTTGATCTGACATTGTCAAAAAGTAATTCTGCTCCACCCCTGCATACAGAATAAAATAATAAAATATGTTAAATATATTATTTTATTATCATTACATACCCGAATTCTAGTTTGCATTTTAAGCCATTTTCACTTGTTGTTGACATAGTAAAAAATATTGAATAACTTGGAAGTAACGCACGTGTAGTAAACAAATCTTGGATATTAATTTTTTATTTTAGAGCAAGTAACATCCCAAAATATAGTATTTTTCAATTAAAGATAAATACTAGGACTTAAAATTAGACCCTTCACATAAATCCTTACTGTAAATAAAGAAATCTAAATTGCATGAATTTGTTCAAGCCGGTTGACGAAATTTGCATTTTTTTGACACATTGACAGCTGTTAGTTCTTGTTTCATTCGCCCGTGGCGCTAGTTGATGATTTGTATTTTTTAGCGCGGTTATTCAAAATGATACAGTTGAGTGTTAAGCATAGTTGTGTAAACAATAAATCGAGTAAACATGTATGTTCTTATTTAAATTCTCAATCATATCAAATATTTGGCTTTAGCATTCTATTCTCTTGTCCTTTTTTTCAGGATCCTAATCAATAGATTGCGTTAATTACTGGATAATATATTTGATAACAAACCTGACGTATGCAAGGATTGAATTGATTTTTTCATTTAAGTGAAATGAGTCACTAATTGCAATGTCTTAGATTGGGAAAAAAACTGAACGACTAGTGAAATAGGTTTGAACATTATGGAAACTACAAGATGGTCACAAATGTCCTGCACTAAAAAGGTAAGTTATTTAAGTATATTTATACAAATATACACACAAAGATATATATACAGTAGGCCCTCGCTTTACACGGCATTCTGGGTACACGGTTCCCATACTACACGGAGCTAAAAATCCGACATCCCTCCGACTACACGGACTTTTTATTACGCGGTATTTGGTCAACAGCCCATAAGTTCGTTGTGCAAAAGGGTATTGATGTAAATTTTGTTATCGACTTTTATCTTTTAGACATGCCTGATTGTATAATAGCCGCCTAAGAACACGTTTGAGCTGACTACTGCGTCGCGCCAATTTTTGAATAAGGTGTCAATGTCCTACACGTCATTTCGTCCGTATTTCTCCTACTTCAAGTTGTATTTCTTGGTCTCCATACAACGCGATAAAAATGATGCGATTTGTACCAACTCTGAGTCTCTCATAACACGGTTCCCATACTGCACTATGTAAGGTTCCATAGAACGCACTACGTCTCTTATAGCACGGTTCCTATACTGCACGGTACGCACTTGCCGCGTAAAGCGAGGGTTTACTGTATATATATATATATATATATATTCATATATATATATATATATATATATATATATATATATTCATATATATATATATATATTCATATATATATATATATATATATATATATATATATATATAATAATTAATCATTAGTACTGCCCTAAGGCAGGTCTATGAGCTGAGTTAAACTTGAACTCGATTTAGGGAAGAAGTAGTGTAAGAGTTTTTTGAAACAGTTACTATAATAAATAAAGAAATATTGATTAATAATTATATTCGTGAGATTGTAAAATATGATATAGGGCAGGGCGGGGCACAAAGTTCCACTTTGACTTTGATTTTGGTCAAACCAATTATATCACAAGAAATAACGCATATTAAACAAACAACTGTATGACTATGTGCAGTAAAATTTCCAATAAATTCATCATTGTAGAAATGTACTTTTTAAACAATAGTCAAATCAGAGCAACTTCGTTTTTTTTTCGAATAATTTTTCAGTACCTTCCCGTTGAGCAAATCGAATATTTTGTCTGATTGCTCTTTAGCAATCGTGCCTTAAGGCAAATTTCTGGAACTTCCCATACTGTAACAGATAATGATCGAGGAATATTTAATGTTTTCATATAGATTTTTATAAATATTGTAACATTGTCTCATTGTAATCTTTCTAAAAATTCAGTGATGATTTATAAAGTCATATTAAACGTACTTTTTAAATATTAGTCGAATCAGGGCAATTGTTTTCTTTTTCGAAAAAAATTTTAATACCAAATTTTTTAATTGCAATGCAATATATTTTAGGGAGGAGGATAAAAATTCAGTGGCAATTTATTTTAGTTCTACTAAGTGTACCTTTTAAATAGTTTTTTACTTGATTTTTTTGTCTGGAAAGCCCTAATTTTGATTAATTATAAACAAACTTTAAAATTATCTCACAAAGACGATGCCTGAGAAAAATATTACCAAAAGCAATCGCAATCATATACCTGGCTATTTAGATTTCTTTAAATATTGAAAAAATTGCAACATATCGACTGGCGCTTGATTAATATGTGATCAGGAAATATATTATGTAATTTTTAACTTTACGTAGGATAAGTTATAGTGAAATCGAAAGTGAAATTTTTTATATATCTTTACGTATCAAAAGTTTGTGAACATTTTGGCATACCGTAGAAAAAATGGATGCACGTGTGTGTGTGTAGAGTTCAAAAAAATTCAAATTTTCGGAATTTTTCATTTTCAATAAAAAATCTAAATTTTGAAAAATTTCTAAAAATACCGAAATTTAGAAAAAAACGATTTCCTACAAAAATTTTAAAATATTTTGAAATTTACAAAAAAATTGAATATTTTCAAAAATTTCCAATTTTTTAAAAAATGTTATGTTTTTCGAAAATTAAAAAATCGCACTTTTAAAAAAATTTGAAAATTTTGAAAAAAAATCAAAATTACCATGAAAATCAAGTTTTAAAAAATCGAACATATTTCTTGTTAACATACACGTAAGTTGTCGTAGAATACGCCCGTTGCTTAATTTAAAAGCACTTATAAATTTGCATTATTTATATTAAATAATTTTTGAAAAATTTGATTGATTATTGATTATTTTTATTCCTCGAATGTTCAATTACGGTACGTTCAATTAAGTTTCAGCAAACTGCCTTAAGGCACGATGCCATGTACCACTACTTTTAAGAGAATTGTGACCTTTTTAACTTCTCGTAGAGTAATTAACTTCTCGTAGGGTAAGTTATAGTAATCGCAAAAAAATCGAAAGTGCAAATTTTTATATATTTTTACGTTTTAAAGATTTATGAACATGTTGGCATATCTTAGAAAAAATGGCTTTATGTGTTTGTATGATGGGATACAAATTTTGCTGGACGATTTCGGGAACAACTCGGGTTCAAACAGCCGTTTTGAAGATACGGAGCAAAAAGGTCCAAAAATGGTAGTTCAGTTTTTGAGAGAACGGGGCGTCCGATTTGAACATTAAATTTTTGGGTAGGCAGATCCAGCAGTTTCGGAGATTCAAGGAAAAAAGTAAAATATTATGTCATTTTGCGATCAAAAATGATCATCAGACATATGCACAAAATATTATCAGATACTTTATAGAGATTTCAATAACGAGCAAAAAATTTGTTTGCATTTTTGTGGGTTCCGTACCAATGTTCATCTGCTAGACTGCGACGCGGCGCTTCGTTATTTTTAAATTTTCAAAAAGTTTCAAAATATTTCAAAACTCTCAAAAATATATTTTTTTAAAAAAGTTTCAAAATATATCAAAACTCTCAAAAATATATTTTTTTCAGTTTTCAAAAAAATTTGAAGCGTTTTTATAAATCTTAATTTTTGGTACGGGAAGTTCCGGCAATTTGCCCTAAGGAACGATGCCATGCACCACTAGTTTTTACATGCATCTGAAACAATGTTTATTATTTAAACAAAAAAGTGACTACATTATAATTACTGGAGTTTAGTGATTCCCAAAGATTTGTAGCAAACTTCTCTGGCAAGTGAGTTTGTGTGATTCTTGATCCGTTGAATAGTGTAAGTAAAAGTTCCAAGTTTGCCCGAAAATCTATCGAAATTTTATTGTCGTCTTGAAGGTGTTTCCTTTTTATTGGTATTTTATTTCCATGTTAACATTTCGTGCAAATGTTAATCAAGATAGTTAACTGTATCTGCTTATTCTTTCATCATTGAGATGGAAAGCAGGACATGTCACTTTGCGCATATAGAAATATTATGTTGTGACTACTAAGATTCACTTTTAATCTCCACAAGTTTAACTACTTTTGGATCTGGTCAAAATAATTCTCAGCAAGTGTGATTCAATGCCAGGATGGTTGTTATTACCATTAAAATGTCGTCTTTTGGTTCGGAATGTAAATATTTTAACCTGTTAAAAAATGTTCCGTCTTTTTGGTATAAATCATATCGTTACACACCTTGGATAGTAGAATGAAGTGCTGCCTGTTACTGATGCCCTGACCACTATCCAGATCTTGTTCACATTGTCAACAATCCTGTGTATTTGTTATGTAGTACCATGCTTTTTTCTCTTAAAAACAAATAAAATAGGTGCGTATAGATTATTTCTCGATCATCAATAAGAGGTTCCAATATATACTTCAAGATTTTCTAGAAAAATTTGATGTAATTAGAAGTAAACAAATAGGTATGTGTTTCTAAACTTCCTTATGAGGTTTTGGATTTTTAAATAATCTTAAAGTTTTCATGACAATACCATTCAATTGTTAAGTAATGATAAACATTTGAAGTTCTAAGTTCAAAGTTACTTAATAATAATATTTGCAGTGCTAGAGGCTTTTTCAGGTTTTGCTTTTCGCATTTTTTTTTGTGATTTTTGCAACTAATAATATTCGACGAGACACTTGATTCTCCTCTAAAAAGATAATAATCAATTTTCTTCTTGTTCAGCGCAATTTTTGAAATAATAGTCAAATTGTGCACAGATATAGGTAATTTTCAGGTAAGCTGTTTGATTACTGAGGTGGCTAATTACATCACGTGTTGAGTTGATCTGTTAATAGTATTTCAAATGGCAATTATCTGTTACTCATTGAAGGATCTCTTTGAGCATACATTTTTGTGCGTCTTACAACCTTTGTAGTGGGCTGAGCAGTTTTTACAACTTTCACAGTTCCTGACAGGAAGGTGGCGTTTCCAAATGCGTTCAACATAAAAAACATCAATTCAGATTTTGAAACTAGGTTTAAGGATGTTTTGACTATATTAAAACTAGCTTGGATAACTAACCAATATAGTGAAATAGTGAAAAAAATTAGATAATACCACAAGAACTGATACTAATAATGATATAAAAATGAATTCAGCAATTGTGGCAGAAAACATATACCAGTTACTTATCACATAATATGGAATATATGAAATTTTTCCATACTCATACCTAACGGAAAATTTGTTTAACAAAAAAATAAGTAGACTGGAAATCATAAGCTACAAGATTTAAGAATAAATCTTAAACCTGTTATCAAA